AAAAATAACATTTCTTCGGTCCTACCGTGTGCCAGGAACTGTTCTTAGCCCATAACACATATTATCCCTTTTAATCTTCACAACAATTTTCTGGAAATAGTAACTTATCTATTTTTAATCTGCCCCCTTTTTTTTTTTTTGCAGATAAGGAAACTGAGGCACGCGGAACTGAACAAACTGGCAAGGAGACGTGGGGCTGCTAGGCTCTGGAAGCATGCAGTTCGTGCCCACAGCCTGCTCTCAACCGGGGGCTCCAGGCTGCTAAGGCGAGTCACGTGGACACCGGGGGCTCTGAAGCTGGGGTCCCAGACCTGGGAGCTACACGGCCCAGCCGGAGTAGGGAGGGGGCGTCAGACCTCCCTGACTCCCGGATGCCCCCTACCCTCCACCCTCCACCCCAGAGAAAATTCGAGAAAATGAGGGTGCCTGGGAAGAGGTCTGTTGAGCCTTGGGTGCAGACAGGAGTCCTTCACACTTACAAGCTTCTTGCGTTTCCGGGGTTTTCCTGGCTTGTTCTCCTTCTGCTTCTTGGGTCCTCGTTTTCTCTTCTTTACACCCAAAGCTGAAGGCAGCAGCCGGATGTCATCCTTATCTTTGGAGCAGAGAGCACCAGAAAACCTAAGCCTACAGGTTCCCTGGCTCGGCGGGCCCTAGACCTCAGCCCTCCTCACCTCTCCTGTTCCCACTCTCTAGGAACTGGGGCATTAACTCCTCCAAACCTCGCCTCCCTTCACTGGGTGCAAACAGAGAGTGTTTCGAGTACTCTGGGATGCTTGGGTTCTGAATGGGAGGTCAGGGGTCAGAAGGGAAGAGCGGCCAAACCACTCCCTCCTCTCTCCTCCTACTAACAAGGGAGCAGGCTCTAGGCCATGGGCTCGGACTGTGGCAGGTCCTTTCAGTCGCCGCCAGGGCTCCTCCTGCCTTCCCCCTCACTCAGCCAGCTGGCATCCTGCCCGGGAACTGGGGAAGCCATGCCCAGCTGCTGGCCTGGCCTGACCCCAGCACTTGGAGTGGGGAGACACAAGCTGGCAGCTCCCTAAGCCAGATGCTGAGACGGGAGAGCCAAAGGTGGACACCTGGGATCTCACACTAACACCCGGGGCCCTCACATCCCTTCCGCCACGAGGGAGGCCTCTATTTATACTTCCTCAGATGATCGCCAAGCCTCCCGTCACCCTAACACGGCCCTGGAGGAAAAGAAGTCCCTGCCAGTCATTTTCACATCTTGCCCACAGGACCGCAGCGTCTGGCTCGACCATCATACCCTAACTGTACGGGAGCCGTCTCTGAACTACCTAAGCATTCCTCCTCTTCCCAAGCAGCCTGGAACCTCCCCTCAAATCTATTTCCATAACCCTGCTCCCTCTGAGAACTCAGGGGCCCTCCCCTTTGTCCCCTGGTCTCACCCTTCGCCTCCAAATTTAGTCCCATTCATACAGAAGCAGCAGGGGAGACCCAAACAAAGCTGGAAACAAAGACACACCCAGCATATGCATTCTCAGACGCACACACGCGAACACGGGCCTGAGCACAAATCCAGACGGCGGCTGCCTCTACCTGCTTTCAGCAGGCCTAGGTCCCGGACTTTCTCCCTAGATGTCTCTATCAGGGCCGGGGCTTGCCTGATGTGTCCCCCAGCCCAATTCTCCATGACCCCGACCTCAGGTCTGGGGAGGACACGGATGCCACAGACCTGGGGCCCTGCTTGGCCTCCCTCCCCGCCAGCAGGCACTAGACTAACCAGCCAGACCTGTCCTGCTCCAGGCAGAGGAGGAAAGCCTGGGCCTGGCCCAGCCCCTTGCTCTAGGACACACAATCTTTCGGCCCACAACAGCCAAGGGAAAATTAGCCACAATTAACACGGCTTCCACTGCCTGGGGATCCCGGCGCCTCCTTCCTCGCTACCTGTCCTCAGAACGCCAGTATCCTGTGTCTTCTGGTGCAGATCACCCTCTAGGCCCGGGCCTGTTGGGGGGCCGTGCAGCAGGCCCCGGGCGTGCAAAGAGCGTGCAGACTGGAGTAGGAAGTCAGCAAGGCGCCATGCACCACCCCCCTTGCCCCCAGCAGCCAGCTCTCCCCAACCCCCGGGACGTCGCTTAATGTGAACATGGAAACAGAGGCCGCCGGGGCGGTGGCAGGGGCAGGCCAACTGGCTCGGCGTCAGGGACGAGGCCTGGGCCGCCACCCTCCCCGCGGGGGGGCTGGGGCACCTGCCCCGGGGACCTCAGCCGCCAGTTCGCCGCCCTCCCCGCCCCAGCAGGAGGCTCCAGAACTCGGGAAGCCGGCGGCGGCGGCGGGGAGAGGCAGCGCGGAGCGGCGAGGAAGGGAAAGGGAGGGCAATAAAGCAAACCCAAGTCCCAACCTCGGTCTCAGCAGCCATTCAATGCTGGCCCGGCGCCCAGACTCTCCCACACCCCGGCTCGGATCCTGGGAAGCGGGCGGGGGCGGGGGGCGGCGCGCGGCGGGGGCGGGGCCTGGCGCGCCGGGGCGGCGGGAGGGGGGGGGGGAGGCGGGCGGAGCCCGGCCCAGGCCGCGCCTCCCGCCGGCCCCGCTCTCCCTCTAATCTCACCATCAATCTCTCACACATATATTTATTTTTTCTCAAATTCCCCTCCCTCCCCCACAACGCACCACCATAATAGGTCTGCTGCACATGCGTACTGCACGCAGGGGGTGGGTTTGTATTTTCAGACCTTTTGCAAAGAAACTACCAGAATTTTCCGCACCACCCACAATCATTCCCCACCCCCACCCCCAAGGAATCACATCTATATATTATGTTATATTATTTCTCGAGACTTGCCAGAAGGGGGAGGGAGAAGAAATGAGTTTTGGGCTTCCTGCTCCCTTCCCCCCCTTCTCGGCTCCTTACATTGTTAAACGTTTAAAATAATAGCGCTTGTGTTGGTGGGGGAAGGGATAAAATCGGTCTTGGGTAAGAATGTAAAACAAAATGGTGAGAATCAAAGCCGTCAGAATGAAAAACAATAGACGTCTAAGACGCGCAAATTCACACTCCGGAGAAGGATGAGGGAGGGCAGCCCGCACACATTTCCTTCCAGGAGGCTTATTTTGCCCGCACTTAGGTAGACCGAAATAACGAGCGGACCAAAAATATTTCCCCAAAGTTTTGCCTCCGAAAGTCATCTGAGGGGCTGCATCTGGGTCACTCATTGGACTCGGAGGGCTGAAAGGGGGGCGGGGATGCAACGGCCCCCAGGAGAGCGAGGAGGTGGGTTTTCATTTCAAATACAAATTTTTTTTTTAAAACATTTGACGTTTCTTCTCGGCTGTTGAGAGAACAGAGGGGAAGAGGGGGAGGGAGGAACTGACACAAAGACCCACCACGACCTCAGATTTTTTCATGCCCCTCGCTCTCTCTCACATCCCCAAATCCGGGATCAAAAACACCCAAATACCACATTCCACGTTGGCCGCACAAATCAGGCCCTGACACAACCTGACATCCTTTCTTTCTCTTCTTTGCTGCGTCTGCCCGGCTCCAGGCATCCCCCTCCCACGATTTTTTATTCCTTCTCCCTCTTGGAAATCCATGGGTTCTCTGGGATAACTTTGTAAAAACTTTTCCCTTTTTCAGACAAGCCTGGTGCGGGGGGGGGGGGTCCCTGTTTCCATCAGACACGCACTGGCCTCCGCCGCCCCCCCCCAAAGACACCCCTTACTCCCTTCAAAGGTGCTCTCAATTGAACAGGGACATTTGCTACAACACCCACACAGATCAATGTGACAGTTTTACAAATAGCGTCCTGAAGTTTGGTGCATTTGTGCTGCGTGGCACCCAGAGGCCTGGGGGTCTGGATGTCCCCTTTCACACCCCCAGCAGATGTGAGCACCCCCAGAGTGTTCCCCTGTCCTCAAGAAGGTTAGAAATCACTCCACTAGGAGGGTGGTCTGAATGGAGCCCTTGCTGCCCCCCCACCATGCGAGGCAGCAGTGTGCCCCTTCCACCCCTGGGGGAACTGCCCAGAGAGCGGCCCGGGTGACTTGTCATCCCCGGGGAGAGGTGCCGAGTGACGGTCAAGCTGCACAACAGCTGGGTGGGCAGTTCACGCCCCCCAGCGTGATCAAGGTGCGGGTGGTTTCCGCGAGAGAGTGAGTGACAGTGAATGGCAGCCACGTGAGAGTCACAGCTGGGCAGCTCGGCCACCCCAGACTGACGGGGTCACGCTGGGGGGGGGGGGGGCGCACTTGACACAAAAGAGCCCAGAGCAGAGTGGAGATAAATGGGGTGGAGTTGGGGGCATCTGGTTTCCCAGACACTCTCCCCGCGCTCCCCGATGTTAAAGGAGTGCTCTCTCCGGGACGAGATGGGGGGACAGGCGGCAGCATCAAGTCTGACTCCAGGAAGTGGTCTGCGTGGAGTGCGGCCACCACCTGCCCCCGGTCCCCAGCCGCCCGCAGACATTCACGCGACCCCTCCCCCACGTGCCACCGCACGTCCCGGAGTTGGCGGGCACCGGGGTCCCCGCAGGTGGGGGTCCGATGGAGACCGACCCCCGCCCCCGGCCCCCGCTCCCCCAATCCTGAGGTGGGGGTTGCTTAGGCCCGTGGTCCGCTCCACACGCGGAAACCCCCCGTTACCTCAGTGCAACCCCACTCGGGTCGGAGCCACAGGGGCGCCCGCGCGGCCGCCCCTCCCCCACGCGCCCCTCCTCCACGCCGCCGTCCGGCCGCCAGGGTCTCCGCGGTCCCTCGCTCGGCCAGGGAGGGGGCCCTGGCTTCGCCGCGGCCGTTTCCTGCCTACCCCCTCCCCGCCGAGGGTAAAAAAAAAATCTCCTCCTCCTCCTCCCCCGAAAGCCGCGACCGAGTGGCCCGGTCCGCGCGCGCAGCTCGCGCCCAGCGCTCTCCAGCCCGGGCGGCGGCGGCGGCGGCGGCGGCGGCAGCAGTGGCGGAGGCTGCGGCGGCGGCGGCGGCGGCGGCGGCGGCGGCAGCGGCGGCGGCGGGGGAGGGGTGCGGCGGGGGAGGGGAAGAGGCCTGGCCCCGCGGCGGCCGCCGCAGCCCGCCCGCCCGCCGCCACCCGGCCCGCCGCGGGGCCCCGGGCCCGAGACTGGCGCCCCGCGCCCCGGATTCGCCTCGGCTCGGCCGCGCGGTGGGTGCCTCGCCCCCGCCCGGCCTCGCGCGCCCACGGCTCCCGCTCGGGCTGGTGGGGGGTGCGGGGGGGGAGTCGGGGCGGCCGCTTACCTGGCGGCGGGGGCGGCGGCGGCGGCGGCGGCGGGGGCAGCGGCGGCGGCGGCGGCGGCGGCGGGAAGAGGTGGCAGCCGGGGGGGGCTGTGGCGGTCGCGGCCCCGGTCGTGGCCCGGCCCGCGCCCGAGCGCTCCCTCGTCGTCGTCCTCCTCGTAGTCCTCGTCGGCCGCCTCCACCTCCTCCTCCTCCTCGTCGCCCTCTTCTTCCTCCTCTTCTTCCTCCTCCGACACCACCATCTCCTCCTCCTCCTCCTCCTCGTCCCTCAGAGGGGAAGCCATCCTGTGGCTCTGGCCCCCCCACCACCCCCCCACCCACCGCCCGCCCGCCTCCCCCACCGCTACCACCACCACCTCCTCCTCCTCCTCCTCCTCCTCCTCCTCCTCCTCTTCGGCGGCGGCGTCCTCCTCCTCCTCCCCACCGCCTCCCCCAGCCCCCCAAACCCCCGGGCCACCCCCCTCCAGAACCCCCCCTCGGGGCCGCCGGCTGAGGAGGGGGGCCGAACCACCCCCAAAAATTGTCTTGGAAAAAATTGAGAGACTTTTTTTCCCCCCTCTCCCCTTCCTCCCAAGAGAACAAGAAAGGGGGATTAAAAATATATATATATATATAAAAGTTTTCGACTTCTCTCTGCCCCCCTCTCCGTTGCTTTAAATATATTTAAATTCTGAGGGGGGCGCTCAGAAATATTTCTCAGAGCTGAGGCACTAAGATGGCCGCCTTGAAATTATTTTTAAAACAACCCCCCCCCAGCACCGCCACCCCCTCCATGAAGAAAGGGAGAGGGGGGAAAAATCCCCTTTTAAAACAAAATGGCTGGCTTAATATTTCAGTTTTCACCCCCCCATTCTCCTCCCCTGTTACACCCCCATCTCCAAGCCTCTACCCAGAAACCCACAAATTTCTCCCTTTTTTCATAACTGATTAGTGCACAGATTAATAGAGATATTTTCCTTGTGTACTGTGTGTGTGTGAGTGTGTGTGTGAGTGTGTGTGCGCGCGTTGGGGGGGCATGAAGGATTTCTGCATAAAACAAAAATGGCTGCTCTTTCTAACTCCCCCCCCCATAAAAAAATATTTGAGGGGGGGCATTAATCAGTACTCATGCTCAGTCTGACATCAGCATAAATTGTTAAAGGTTAACTAGTTAGATACTAGTCCAACTAGATTTAAATATTTTTCTTTTCTTTACTAGTCTCTTCCTCCCCACCTCCCTTCTCTTAAAGAAAAGCTTTTTTTTTTTTTTCTGAATACTTCAGAAGGGAGTGGTTTGATGTGAAGGTTTTTTTTTTTTTTTCCCCTTCAGGCATTGAAAAGGAAAAGATGAAATATATGTTTATATATAACTCTGTTTCTGCATACCTCACTGGCGTCAAAACGCATTTAATTGTGTATGTATCCTTCAAGTGAGGAGCGGGGCTGGGTTTTTCTCCCCTTTCTTTTAAAAAAGTGACAGAAATTCTAGTGACTTTTGGGGGAGAGATATGAATAGATACGATGATTGAGGGTTTTTTTTTTTTTTCCAAAGGAGTCCATGTTTGATTCTCCCCTTTGCCCAGGCTTTTCAGTAATTTATAATTGTTGTAAATTCTATCTGCACTCTTTTTTGCTTTACCTCGCCCTCCCCTCCCCCCCATGGCTCGACGATAAAATTCATCTGACTTGGGAAATTAATTTAGGGGTCAGGAGTACAGATTTTTAGAATAAAGGGGAAAGAGTCAAGTAGGAAAAATTGTGAAATTGTTTTCTCTTTTCTCCCTTTGCAGTCTATTTCCCTTTTCTCCATGATCTCCGACCCTGGTACAGTAGAAGAAACTGAGGTACCGTGAAACAGGAAAGTCTCTGGGACTGAGAAAAAGAGGTAGGGGTCCCCCTGGCATTTTCATCCCACTTGCCTGGCGCATGATGTCCCACCGTACCACAGTGTTTATCTTAGGAATGGAGCTGGGAATCGGATGGAAGGTTGGAAAGGAGTCCCAAAGTAGCTCTCTCATCCGGAGATCCAGCCGAGAAGTCCTCTAAAACTTGCCTCTTGAACAGGGCGGGCAAAGGAAGGAGGGCAAAAAGCTCCTTTCCGTCCTTGTCACCTCTCCTAACTCCAGCTTCTTCCCATTCTTCTGATCTCCCTTTGCCCCGTCCTTGCTTCCCCTCCCTTGCCTGGGGTAGCCCTTTCTCTCCTGGGTTATTTCTCTGCCCCTTGAGCGGAGCTACCATCCCCCCATGCCCCTGCAGGCCCAGCAGCGCTCAGGAGCACCTGAGGCGGGAGGGGTAGGTAGGCAACAGACAGAAAGTAGGAATGACAGGGAATCCTGTGCCAGCTTTGCTTAGGAAGCTAGAAAATTCTTTATTGATGCGCCACCCCCCATACGCACACACTGATGCACTTGACCGAGCTAGGAGCTCTGTCTCTTTCTTAACCCGGCCTTTGGGAGTCCCCCGGCCGCCTCCTGCGTCGGTCCTGCGCCAAGTCTACCTCCTGTCCCTCCTCTGTTCGGTTCTGTCCTGTTCCTTCTCCGGTCCCTTTGTGCAAGGCCATCTGGGTAGCCCCCTCTTTTTGTGCCGGGGCTTCTCTGTATGGGTGACTTTATTTCCTCGCCGACACTGACTCCCGGCCCTCCCTCCGGGCTCTCAGGCTCTGTCACCTCTAAGTGACTTTCCACCTCTGTCTTGTTTCTGTTTACTTGTTTTCTGGGCGCTGCCTCCATGTGTCTGTCTCTTCCTCTCGTGTGCCTGGCTCCCTCCTCTCCCTGGCTCCTCCGCATGTGTTGGGGAGGAGTGTCCCCACGTGGATGTGGGCCACCCCTGCACACCGGGTGCGCCGCAGCCTGCCTGCCTCGGCGCCCCCTCCCCGTGGGCCGGGCACCCCTGCCCGCCCGCCGCCATGTGCCAGGAGCTGCAGGTGCGCCCCTGTCCCCACATTCGTCATTCCTGGAAGGGTGCTTTGCGTGTGGATCTGCTCGTGGGCTCCCTTCTCTCTTCTGTCCACGTCCCCCTCTGCCCACCCGTCTCTCCTCTCCTCTCTTCTCTCCCACCGACCTCTCTCGCTTTGCCTCCCTGGATCCTGGCTCCCGCCTGCCTCTCTACCTGCTTGTCCTGTTCTGGTGTCTGCCTGCCTGCCTGTCTGCTCCTCCCTGACTGGCTGGCAGCCTCGTTCTCTGGTTGTCTGTCTGCTCTCCTGGCTGTTTGCCCACCACTCTCTCTCCAGCCATCTGTCTCCCCGCCTGCCTGTCTCTGTCACTTTTTTAGCCTTCGTCTCTTGGTTTGTCTACCTTCCAGGCCCTGCCATGCTTCCCTATCTGGGTTTGCCTCTTTCTCCTCTCCGTGTTCTTCCCCTTGTGTGTGCCTGCTAAGTCCGCGATTTTCTGCTCGCCTCCCGGAGCATCCGTCTGCTCGCCGGTCCGCCCTGCCTGCTCTGCTGCTGCTGGCCTCCCCCCCCGCCCCGTCCAGTGCTCGCCTCCTTTTCCTCCGGCTGCACGTCCACTTGGGCTCCACGGAGGTGGCCTCACTACCCCAAAGCTGTCAGCAACTCCCTTGCCCTGACATCTCTGGGCCTTCCTGTCACACCGCCTGCCCTGCCTTTCCCCGCTGCTGGCCTTCGCTCGGGGTGGGCCTGCTTCTGCTCCTTCTTATCTCTGGCCCCTGCGATGCTCAGGCCACATCTCCCGCCACATCGGGTCCACATCTCCGCCCGCCTTTCTTCTCTCGTGGTCTTGGTGCGTCCCTCCGCCTCCCAGTCGGTAGCCCACACGCGGCACAAACGGTGTGAGGCGCTAGTGGAGTCCCAGGCCGTGTGGGCCACCCCCTGCCCCACCCCACCAGTCCCCTGCCCTTGAGGCAGCCGCCACTTCGTGCTTCTCGGACGTCGTGCCAGATGAGGGTCTCCGAGGATCTCAGTCTCCCCGCCTCCCTGCCGTTTGCGGCCCTCCTTCCTCCTCCTCTCCCAGTCCTGCCGGATGCTTCTTTCTCCGTCCCTTTGTCACTGGGCCTGCCGGTTCTTGTCCTGTCTTTTCGCTTCTACTCTAGGGCACCTGTCTTCCTGGCTGACCGGCTGCTCACGGCTTGCTCGCACTGCCGGGACCTGGGGCGCACCTGTCCCTCCCAGGGGCTTCTCCTCCGTGTAGGGAGCTGCCTGCAGAGAACTGAGCACCACCGACGGTCCCCTCACGTCCCAGCCATGCATCAGCTGAGACAGGACGTGGGGGCCCCCAAGGACCTGAAAAGTACCGAGTCTGTCCGTCGGGTGCAGTTACTAAGGGAGCCCACGGGCCCAGCTCATGTGCACGCAGAGTGCGGGCCTGCCCTGCCTCCCTGGCACGTCCGTGCGCACGCGGCATGAGCAGCCCTTACAGGCCTCTGACTCTCCACCCCTGGGCCTGGGCAAGGAGCGCGGCCTCTTCCCGATCTGAAACACCGCTTCCTCCTATGACTTTTCTCCCTCTGCCTCCTTCCTGCGGGCGCCTCTGCCCTGCCACCTCTGGGATGGGGAGGCTCAGTCCTTAAGGGGGAACAAAGACACGGCCTCTGTGCGGGTCTCTCCAGGGGGACGACAAGGAAACTTCTGCACAGGATGCACTGCTCTTTCCCTGCCCGCGTTCCTGAACCGCACTGTGGCAGCCCCGGCCTCCAGGCCTCTGGCCCCTTTCCCGCCCGCCCTCTCTCACTTCTCTTTTCTCGGTTCTGTCTTTCCCCTCAGCTGTCTGTCTTGGGCTGCATTCGAGCGTCCCTCTGATTGGCCACCTTCCCCCTCTTCTGTCTGATTGGCCTGCATCCCTCCATCACCCCATCTGTCTGCTGGATTCTCCCTGTCTGCCTGCAGTAATGGATGTGATGGCATTTATCCGTCACACAGCCGCGTGCGGCCGCAGACTGTTATCACTTTGTCTTCTCTCTCCTCGTTCTCCTCCTTCCTTGGTCTGTCTGCCTTCTTGCTCTCCCCACACCCGTTTGTCCAGCCACGTCTCTCCTGGCGCTCTCATTGGCCTCCCTGTCACTCATCCCCCCCCCCCACAGCCTGTCTGTGTGTCCGTCCTTATGCCTTTTATCTGGGCCTGCACGTCTCTCCGTCCCTGGCCGCTCGTCTCCCCACCTGCCGGTGTCCACGTGGACGCCTCTCCCTGCCTTGTTCCATCCCTCTGTACTTGAAAAACTAAAAATCCAGTACAAAATTAAAATGCCATACGACTCACAGCTAGAGGCGGATGGTTTTTGTTTTTACTGAGAAGACCATTAAGGTGAGAACAAGGAACTTAGGCCTGCAGCCTGTCAAATGCAAACCAGAAATCAGATGCCCCCTCCCGCTAAGAAAGAACTAGAAGAAAACAGTGAGGGACTCCTTAGCCACAAGAAGATTATTTCCTTAATGCAAAAGCAAGAAACGTACCCAGAGCAAGAGCTTCTAATCTTTTTTGGTTTGTGGAAAGTTACAAGCCCTTGAACAGCACGAATCTGAACTACGCGGGTCCACATACGTGCAGATTTTTTTCAATAAATATATTGGAAGATATTTTGGAGATGTGCAATAATTTGGAAAAAAAAACTTGCAGATGTGCTCTATAGCCTAGAAACATCGAAAAAATTAAGAAAAGTATAGGTATTTCACAAGTGCGTAAAATACACACAGGTACGATTTTATCATTTGCTACCTGAAAATATCACCCAAATCTTTTTTTTTTTTTAAGTTCGAACTTATGCACAAAAACAGAGACCACGTGCTGTCTTTTTATCTTTAATGTCTGGTATTAGTAACTCACGTCCACTGTGTATAAGGTCTCGAGGGTATCGCGTCCTGTCAGGCAGTAGAGGCCAAGGTACTGAGAGATGGTTTGTCTCGTAAACAGATGATGTAAACTTACGGAATCATTAAATACAGAACTATAGTTGTATTTTTCTTATGATTGTCTTAATAGCATAGTATTTTCTTGCAACTTTATTGTAAGAATATAGTATATATACATGTAACATGCAAAATAGGGGTAACCAACTTTTATGGTGTTGCCGGGGCCTCTGGTCGACCGTAGGCTGTCATTAGTCATGTTATGGGGGGGTTGAGAGTTTTTCCACTGCACAAAGGGTCAGCACCCCTAGGCATCGTGCCGTTCAGGGATTTTGTTGGTATACGCAGAATACCATGTATATTTTTATGGTATTAGGAACACCCGGACGTCTGCGGACCCCAGGTTAAAACTCTGATGTAGGGACCAGTGACAGCGATTGGTTGGGCACAGACGTGTCCTCATGTCCCCCAGGCAGGTCAAAGGACCGAAAAGATCACTGCACTCAGTGATTTTCTACTCAAGGAAATGTTAAAGAGGTTCCTAGTCGTCTTTGGAAATATATAGATGAGGGATCATGAAAGTCACATAAATACGGAGGATATTCCAGACTTAATCATGGAATTTTATTTTATTTTATTTTTTTAGATTTTATTTATTTGTTTGACAGAGAGAGACACAGCCAGAGAAGGAACACAGGCAGGAGGAGTGAGAGAGGGAAAAGCAGGCCTCCTGCAGAGCAGGGAGCCAGATGTGGGGCTCAATCCCAGGACCCTGGGATCATGACCCAGGCCAAGGACAGTTGCTTAACGACTGAGCTACCCAGGTATACCTCATCATGGGACTTCAGAGAGAAGGGTGCCTAGACCAGTGGTTGCCAGATGGCTAAGTAAGCTTGCTGCTTGTCTTTCCCTGGGAAGGTCTGTCCTTTGTTTTGAGATTACGTGTTTTTCTATAGATTTTTATGCGGCGTAAATAATAGAATATACTATATTATACATAACAAGTATATGTTACGTGTATATGAATGCTTACAGATTAATAGCATATTTGTTAAAAAGGTTCTTTCTAAAAAAGATGGATCTGCATGGAAGGAGGGCCATCATAGATTTTATGAAGGAAGAGAAAGGAAGACTTTTTATACTTCTATACAATTTGAAAGTTTTTTAACATGTACTTCTTTTATAATCATATGACATTTTAACTTCCTTTTTAGTAAATAACAGAGATAGGTATTTAGGTTTGAGTTTTGTTGTTTTTAATGTACTTAAGAAAAAGTCAGCAACTCCCATGTAAAT